GGGAATGTGTAATGGTTTCCACAAAAACATGAACCTGCAAAAACAGTTTTACTGCATTTTTTCACGAAATAAAATGCAGCCTTGGTGAGCAGAAGTAACTTCTTTCAAAAACAAAAAAATCATAATTGTTGCAAACTTTTGGCAGGTAGTGTGTATAAAACAGCAGATCATGCGTTTCATTATTGTTACTCTTTATGATCAGCAGGGGGCGCTAGAGACCACAGACACTCAATGAGATCAAAGCACAAAGAGGGCATGATTAAAGCTAAGTCATGGGTAAAAACAAACTCTGTTCCTAATGCTCCTGAGTGATAAACTTTCACTGAGCATCATCTTTATATGGACCATCCACTTACAGGAGAAGAGCTACATCAGCTGAGCCAATTAAAGGAACTGCATGGAATTGTTTGCCCAGATGTGGGAAGTAATATTTTCTATAATTTACAACAGCCCAGCAGTTACATGCTATATATTATTCAGGAGGATAACACTCCACTATTTTTTTAACTAAAAAAATCTCAAACAATGTATTTGATAAGTGCTATGTCATTAGACACATCAGTAAACATCTGTAATGGTCAAACTACAAAATCATATCACATCACATTATACAATGCTCGAGACCCAACATCTGCTATAAATTACAGATTGTGAGGATTTCCAGTCAGGATTTAGACCATATCATAGTACTGAGACTGCTCTCATCAGAGTTACAAATCATCCGATCGTGGTTGTATCTATCTATTAGTGCTATCGGATCTTAGTGCTGCATTCGACACTATCGACCACAACATTCTTTTGAATAGACTAGAACATTATGTTGGCATTAGTGGATTTACATTGGCATGGTTCAAATCATACTTATCTGACCGTCATCAATTCGTAGCAGTGAATGAAGAGGTATCATATCGATCACAAGTGCAGTATGGAGTACCTCAAGGCTCAGTACTAGGGCCATTACTTTTCATGCTTTAAATGTTACCCTTGGGAGATATCATCAGGAAACATGGTGTTAGCTTTCACTGTTATGCTGATGATACTATATACTCTATATTTCTTCGAGGCCCGGTGAAACATACCAATTTGCTAAACTGAATGCGTAGTTGATATAAAAAACTGGATGACTAGTACTTTAACTGAAAAATTGACTGTTTGCTATTGTCTTCTTTTTAGAACTACTCAACAGCAGAATTAAATTTTGTTTGCATTACTGACACACTATTTTCCTGCTTAACACTGTAAAGCTGATTTGACAATCTGTATTGTATAAAGTGCTATATAAATAAAGGTGGCTTGACTTAAGTTGTTTGAAGAGGAAAAAAGCTTTGAAAAGATCTTAAGACATGCCAGACATCAGACTGCCCTACTAAACCCTCCTGACCCAGAGATTCAAACCTGACAGCTGCAGAACTGTGTGTAATATGAGAGAAAGTGAGTAGACAGCCACAATCTCTTCAGACACAAAGAGAAAGGCCAACATTAAGGCTGACGATACACGGGGCAACTTTTTGAGCAATTTTGCTTGGGCACTTTCCCCATTGAGAATGGGTAACAAATTTCTATCTGGATAATTTAGATCGGTCGTGGGCTCTGTGTCTCACCTGGTTGCCCGTTGACATCAACCTTGCTCAAAAAGTTGCCCCGTGTATCATCAGCCTAAGTCACCTGATGATCAGAAACCTAAAGAAGTTGTTTTGTCATCTGATGAGATGAGCTGAAGTTGGGATGGAAACAAAATGCTGTCAATCAAACAGTCGAGCACTAAAACACAACAGCATCACTGTTCTGAGCGGCCTTATGTCTCACTTGGGACGAAGAGGATTAAGTAAGTAAGTAATCTCTGTTCTGAACCCTGAAGAACCTCATTTATGATGTTTTTTATAAGATTCACCCAAAACACAGCGAACCACTATAAAGAAGTGATTCTGTATTTTACAAAGAGCCTGACATGAATCGGTGTGTAAGGCAGAATCTGACAGAGCAAGAGCTTTAGTGTTTTTAGTGTGATTGCACAGAATACTGACGCTGTGAGCAGTCACTGCCGATCCAGCCGGGGTAACACTGACACGAGCCGTCGATGGGGTTACATGTGCCGTTATTAGTGCAGGTGCAGCTCCACGCGCAGTTCTTACCGAACCTGCCACTGGGACACACTGCAGACAGACAGACAGACAGACGTCAACACTACCGTCCGCTGACACAACCACAGCACAGATACTGGACAATGGAAATGGAAAACATTACAGAAAATACTGAAAGAATAAATGGCATGGAGAAGACGCACTCCCCATGTAAGCCAGACTATCTGACAGCTGTACTGTAGAAGTGAGTGAAAGCGGCGTGTCTTGCCTTCGTTGCAGAGCGCCCCTTTGAACCCGGGCAGACAGTCACACTGGCCAGTCACGTGGTGACAGGGGCCATTGCTGTGGACGCAGTGCGGACAGGCCTGGCTACAACGGTGGCCAAAGAAACCCGGAGAACAGACTGGGAGCACGTGGGGAAAACATGAGGAGAACAGAGCGGATGAGAAAACAGACACGGCACGGCACAGAGGGACAGATAGGCATGCGGTGTGATTGAGCACTCACTGCGCTGGCAGGTGGTTCCTCTGAATCCAGGCGCACACTCGCACGCACCCTCGTCCGGCGAACACGACGCTCCATTCTTACAGTTACAGGACAGAGAGCAGTTGGGCCCCCAGCGGCCCTCAGCGCACACACTGTCACAGTGAATGCCTGTGAGAAACACACACAAACACAACATCACTTTAGAGTCACAGAAAAAAACATCTCTCAATTGCTGCTTCACAACACTTACGGTAACAATTTACATAAAGCCTCTATATATTATGCATTATTTATGCCTTGTAATGCACATTTTAACGCATTTATGATCTCTTGAATAACTACAACCACAGATATAATTATGATGATTATCTATTCATTGTTACACCTTTAGAAAATATAATGTCACGTAACGTGGTCTATCAAACACGCACAACAAAGAAGATAAAGGTAAACAGTTTTTAATGAATCCACCAGAGGGTAGTTCAAAGCAGGCAGGCAGTAGACACACATATAACATCAACATACACAATACTGGACAAAGGAGAACTGAACAGGCTATAACTAAAGTAGGGTTGATAACGAGGGACTGACAGGTGAGGATGATCAACTAAAGAGGACACAGGTGAACTGACTAACCTAATCAAACACGGGGAAAAACTGGGTCACACTGAGCACATGGGGAATGAAAACCCAAAACGTCCATGGGTTTGACATATAATGCATTAAAACACATGACAAACCTTCATTATAATGCATTTACAATTATTTATGAAGAGATATAATGCATTACAATGTACATTATGAATCTTTTTTTATAATGCATCAAACAAAAAGGCTTTAAGTAAAGTGTTACCAACTTCACTTCTCTTACAGAATTCAATGTTTTGTATTGAGAACTATTATAAGTTCATGAGTTCACCTGCCCATCCATTCTTGATAAATGATAGTTGTGCTGACCTGAGCGAAGCCCCAGACTACGAGAGTGACTAGAATGAGGTAGCTTGGAATGGGATGAGATGGGATGATGGAAAGCCATCGCTGGTGCAGATCAGCGACTCATGATGATGACGTACAGTTTTGTTAAGCTTTTTAAAGCTCTGAATTAACTGATTCATAAAATGATTCGCTGTTTTGAAGCACTGAAAACTCCACCAGCTGCACCGTCTCAAAGCACTGTAAATGCAACAAAACTCAGACTAACACATATAACGACACCGTTTACAAACTAATTAACAATTTTCAAGAGAGTGTAATCTATTACATGTAATCTGCAAATAATTAAATTAAATATGAAGTTTCAGTAAAATTTGTGTTTTATTAATTTGCAATCCTTGTTTTGTGTCATTAGGCACTGCTTGGCAAACTAGGTCAGTTAGAAGCAATTAAGTATCATTTTCCCTTGTGTATTATACGTGCATAAGTATTGAAATTCATTAACTTATTTAAATATGGACCTGCATTATAAAACTGACCTGAGATCAGTTAAAATCCACTAAACACTCATTCATGGGATCGCCAGATTAACGCCATCGAGCGGCTAGCACACTGGATTTTAAAATGTTTCGACGCAAAATTTTGCCTCATTTGCGAAAATCCCATACATGCATACAATCTTTGAACCACTGATTCAAACAAAAGATTCATAAATATTACAAAGCTTTATGTAGCAATGTTTCAAAAAGGCCCATCACTACTGACGGGACTAAATAATTAGGCTTCTCCAGAACCTATGTTTTGAACTTCATTTCATATCCCTTCACCTCCTAATGGTGTGCACACATACTGGCTCAGTGAATGAACAATTAAAGCCAATCAAAAGTCCATGCTGCTGTAAAGAGCTTGATCACTGGAAGTGGCAGAAGACGTAAGCGCAGAGCGTGCTTATAATAAGCAGAACGATATCATGTGTTGGTGTGCTAATACAGTTATTGTTATGGTTATTGTTGGTGTGAACTGGTCATAACCCAGTGACCGTCAGGACAAATGATTACACGCGAGTCTGGAGCTCAGTCCGAGCGCAGCGCTGAAGTGGCTCTGTGCTGCCAGAACACAGACAAAAGCTCTTTTGAGAGCGAGTGTGTGTTGCTAGGAGCTGGAGATCATTCTAGTGCAGCGGCCCTGAGGAAACACCGCCGAGAGCATCAGTATGCTGCCGGAGTCCAGCGCAAACCCCAGGAATGTGTGGGAGAGAACACCACACGCTGTACAAACATCATAACACAGCTACACAAACGCTGACATGACCTGCTGCTCATACACTTACGGATACTTCATCACAAAATAAAAATTTGCTCCCAACCCGTATGAGTTTAAAAGAATGTTGTTAAACAAACAATTGCTTTTCCGCATTGACTTTCAAAGTATGGAAAAAAAATTACTATGGAAGTCAATGGTGTCACGGTTATGTTCTGTTTTGGTTTAGTTTTCCATGTGTTTCTGATTCAGTTCCTCATTAGTTTCCATGGTTTTGGATTAATTACTCTACACCTGTTTCAGTTCTCCCTGATCACTTTTCTAGTATTTAAGTCCTGTGTTCTCCCCTGTTCTGTTGTCTGCAATTATTTGTGCTTATGTGGTCGTGGATTATAATTAAATATTACTTTGTACCCTACTCCTTTGTCGTGTGCTTATTTCTACAGCCACTGCGTGACAAATGGAGACCAGCAATCGTTTGGTTACCAACATTCTTCAAAATATCTTTTTTTAAGAAACCTACAGGTTTGGATCAACTTGAGGGAGAGTAAATGATTCATTTTCAACTGTACCTTTAGCAGGATATTGCTGTTAATCATATCAATAAATACATATTTTTTTAAATGGTCATTAAAGTTGTTAAATCTTATGCAGGACAAGCGGTTTTGGGTGGATGGACAGCAAGGCTGTAACCACATACATATTTAGGATTCAGAGTTTATGAACAGCCACCTTAAAGCCCACTACACTGGTCCTGCTGCTTTGGGCCAGCGGTGGGAAACAGCTTCTGAGAAGCGTGAGGCTCCGCTGCTTTACCTGTCCATCCGGCTAGACAGCGGCAGTGTCCGGTGGAGGGGTGACATCCGTCTGCATGACTGCAGTCACAGCGCTCGCGACAGTCCAGTCCATACGTCCCATCCTGCATCAGCCCACAACAGCACACTTCACTCAACACAAACTCTGGCTTTCCTCTATCAGTGAACTCAATATCACAACACACTTGAGATCTTTGGCATGGCAGAGCTAAAGATTAGGATTACAGGTTACTGTTGTGATGCCTTGCGAGTCAAAGTCAAAAATATGGAAAATAATTATAAATGAGCAAATCAATTTTCTATATACGTATATTTTCATTTACAAAAATAATGTATAGCTATAACACATAAAATACCACGGCTGACCGAGAGACGGCAAATCTGACATCTTTCTCAATCAATATCCCAATATTTTTTCTCTGTTGTTGTAGAAACATTACAGTGTTTTTTCTTTAGCTATTAGAGAAAATGGGAACACAAAATTACATTTGTTATAGTTTCCATTCTCCACTGTATAGGTTTACCTAACCATGACGACTTCATTTCTGAGAACCCTGGAAACGGGGTCCAAATGAGAAGGTCACAGAGTTGGCTTTGACTGTGTGAATGGGTTCAGTATGAGGTTTGGTGTTTCTGGGCTGAGATGTTGGGGATGTTGGTGATGAGCTGACCTGACAGTGTTGATCGCAGCGGTCTCCTCTCCAGCCTGGGGTACAGGAGCACCTCCCGTCCAGAGCACTGCAGGCGCCTCCGTTCCCACACACACACGTCAGGTTACAGCCCAGACCCCACCAGCCGCTGGGGCAGTTAATGGAGCAGTCCACCCCGTACCACCCTGACACCAAACACAAAACACCTTCATTTGTCTTCTGAGGAGGAACTCGTTTCTCACGGGTTTGGAACGGCATGAGGGTGAGAGAATGATGACAGAATTTTCATTTTGGAGTGATCGATGCTTTTAAAGGGGTCATATGAGAAGAGAAATCAAATTTGCCTTGTTCTTTTGCCAAATAAGAGGTCTTTGTAGCTTTAAATCATCCTGCAAGTTTCACAGTTTAAAACCTCCTCCTCATAAACAAAGCATTTATTTAATCAAGCTCAGAAACGGCTCGTTTGGATCTGAGGGGCAAGATGACGTCACGGGGGAACAAACATTTGCATAAACACGCCTCCAGAGCAGGATATCGACGAATAGTCTTCTTCTCTCAGCATAGGCCCCACCCACTGGCGTTCATCCACTAACGGCTGACACTTGATCACGCTGAATGAGAGTCGTGTCGCATCAAAAGCAAATAGAAATCACAATCACTGTGCTATCTTGTCTACACTGGATACAGTAATCAGATGCGGTTCACTTTCTGACACAGTCCACACTCGAGTCTGTCGTCAGGACAAATGCAGTGAAAGAACATTCGCTTTGACGCGCTTGGCTTAAACATCTCGGCCGCGTCTTTGTATAGATATCAGAAGGATCCCAGCGTAAGGAACAAGTGGATCGTTTATTTTAATGGCGTCCCGGATCATGAGTCACAAAGAAACATTTGTTGAAAGATGAAGCACTGCTAGATCTGACTGCAGCTGCATCACAAACCATAAGTACATGATTTCATAATGCTTTGTCTGGAAATTACCGTTTTATTTTGATCATGTTGTCAGAACACTAATAAGGGGGCGTTGATAGTGTTCCCTATGTAGTGACATTAGCCAATCATAACAGCGGCTGATTACTGACGAGCCTTAAAACAGATCGTTTTAGACAGAGGGTCAGCATGAGGGTTGAAAATAATCTTTTCCACATATTTTTTTTTTTTTTTGTGCAAACAACTTTATTAAAACTATAAGTAAACCTCAAGGAACATATTAAAATAATAACAAAAGTCGATGTCATGAGCCCTTTAACAGAGCGGGGTCTGAGGTGAATTACCTGCTTGACAGGAGCAGGATCCGTCGATGGGTGAGCAAGCGGCTGCGTTCTTACAGGAGCACACTGAGCTGCAGTTGATGCCGTAGCTGCCAGAAGGACAGGGAGCGGAGCAATCTGAGCCCTGCGGTCACGTCACACGTTAGTGTTTGACTCCGGCACACACACACAGACACACACACACACACACACAGAACACACACACACACAGACACAGACACACACACACACACAGAGTGTCTTTATGAAGCTGTACCTTGAATCCGGGCGCGCAGACACACTCCCCGCTCACGCTGTGGCAGTCGGCTCCGTTCTGACAGCGGCAGATCTGCTGACATGCCTCGCCATATAAACCAGGAGCACACGTCTCGTTACAGTACAAGCCCGACCAGCCCGGGCCGCACAAACACTCGCCCGACATGGGGTGACAGCTGAGAGAGAGACACACAGCCATTGACTGCAGCTGCTGCTGTCACTAAACACAGCCCCACACTGCAGCATCTCCATATCTGACAATAAACCATTTAGTCAAGCACCTCCTGAAGACTGCAACATATACAAGCCCGACCAGCCCGGGCCGCACAAACACTCGCCCGACATGGGGTGACAGCTGAGAGAGAGACACACAGCCATTGACTGCAGCTGCTGCTGTCACTAAACACAGCCCCACACTGCAGCATCTCCATATCTGACAATAAACCATTTAGTCAAGCACCTCCTGAAGACTGCAACATATCATCATTGCTGTTAATAGTGTTCACCGTCTGTTTGATTACATGTCATTAACTGCTTGATTTGTACTGTACATTTCTGCCATATGGACATCAACTTGAGATAGTCAGCACTGATAAGCTATTACTAATATAATGTAGAAACTTTCATTCTCTGTGAAGCTGCTTTGCAACTATTTGCATCGTGAAAAGCGCTATATAAATAAACTTGAATTGAATTGAATTTCAGATTTCAGTCATTTACAATTTCATCTGCTTACACACAAAATCTTTACTTGTCACACAGTTTCTGAAAGCTGACACTCAAACAGCAGAAGCACACACCAAATCTACAAAACCATACACTAATTCTCCGCCTTTGACTCCGTTTTCAATTTCATAAAACACTTTTTGCAAAACACAACACAATTCTCTGTTACACACAAAAATCTAACAGGAATTAATATTATGGCAAAGGTGTTTGCAAATGTTTGCTTTTGAGATGTGTTTGTGATATTTCAAATGCAGTGCTTCATTTTGCAAGAGATGTGAGGCATTTTG